CCCATATGCAATCCTCGCGCACTCTGCACTCGCCCCCGCGCGCGAGGGAGACGGGGTCATCGGCGGGCGCGGCGGCGGGAGCGAGATGGTGCGAATACGCGCACAGAGGACAAGGGCGTTGGAAGATATTTAAAAGCCACGGCCAGGCTGCCTGTTTGGGGTCATTGCTCTGAAGCACACACACTTGCGCCCTCTTGTATCACTTTTTTCCCGCCACCTCCTCCTCTCCAACACACCCAAAAAAGACCACACTGTGGCGGGTCTTTTTCGGTGTGTTCCGCGCGCCCAGAGTAAAAAATTCGGGCAAAAGTGCGTGCCTGTTTGTGTGTCATCGCGTACACACATGCGTAGCTGTATCCTCACCTCATACACGCACAGAAGAGGTGAAGAAAAGACGGCGAAACAGGCAAGTGATATGCTTAGAGTACACAAAACACGCATTTTTCCCCCGAATAAAATGATTTTCCATCCGAAAAATTGCCACCAAAAGTTCAATGCTTTTCATGTGCAGAGTTAGAAGGAAAAGGGCCAATTCCTTCTCACCCTGCATCGACAGAGAGGAGAGAGCCTTTGAACGGCCCAGGGTATATAGGCAGTGAGATATGCAATCTTATCGTGGAAAGGGGAACGTCCCAAGAAATATTTCGGTGATATCAGAGAAAATTTGTCGCAGTGCGTTGAGCAGCTGTCACTGAATCAAACACTCGTTCAGATATTAGAGAAAGAGAGAGAATAAGGTGAGATCCCTTCTCCATAGGCATGCTCAACCCTCCGTCAAGGATACGAGGGAATGTGAGGTTGAAAACATGTTTCGAAAGAGGGTTTCCTTGAAACTCTCAACAATGTCCTTTGCCACTTTCTCTCCATTGTTTTGTCGGTGGTTTTTGAAGAAATCTTCTTCTGGATGGAGTGTATTTAAGTAGAATACAATAAAATACATATGAAATAAGTGATAAATCTTTGCTGTACGTCTATTTTAACCCTTGAAAAACGATTAAACTTGAAGACATTCAACCTCGATTCTGTTATCGGTAACATTTCACAATGTGTTGTCATTTTTTCTCCGAGTTCTTTCACCTTTGCTGTGCGCGTTATTTTGCTGCTCAGCGAAAAAATCATCTGATTCAATCTATTTTTTCAATGATAAAATCATACATCAAACTTTTCCTTTCCACATAAGCTGATTATAGAGTGACTAAAGCTTGATATTTTTCACTATTTTTTCGAGGAGAATCGCCAGTGATTCATCTCGAGTCTCTGCGAACAGCGTGAAATACCTGTGATGACCTCGAGTTGTGCTGCTAAGGTCAATTGGTGACACTTGGCGAGGGAGAATGTCATGATCGCGCTCTTAGATTCTTCACATTTTTCATCACAACATAGCGTTATTGTCTTGGTTTGCTTCTTATTCGAAAAAGAGGAGTCACAGTAAGAACGCAAAAGGCGCTCTCTCGAAGGGGTCACACGAGGCCAATGCTCTGATGATCAAAAAGTACAGAAAAAGAAGGAGAAAAAACGACGTCATCCACGGAAGTGACACAAAAATCGGTGTCTCTCAAGTCTCTTTTCTTTCCCCAAATGCGAGAGAGAGCGACCTTACGTGGGTGCGTCTCTAGAGTTTCCCGAAGATCTCTGTCAAGGCACAAAGATATCCAGATTTGTTGAAAATGGGGCTGTGATTTTCCCCCCTTTGATCACCCCATCAATGGTGGAAATGCTTTGCTATTTATTGTGCACAATATTTTTACTTTTCAATTCATAAATTTTCTCTTTCACTCCAATATATATTTCACTTCTTTACGAACGTAACAGTTAGAAATGAAAGTTTCTAAGCTCTTCCGTTTTCAGCAGACGTGTTTTTTTTTCTCTTCATCGTGTTCTTGGCTGATGTTTTGCTCAATAATAATTTCAAGGGCATGAAATGAACTGTTTGCCGCCAAAAGGGCAACAAATAGAGACACAATAAATATAGAGTAAAATTGCTACTTACGAAAATTCGTCTTGTCTAACCATTGTCGTCGGCCATTTTACGGTGTTTTAGAAATTTTCACTTCTGCTATTTCCTTTTTTATCTGTCAAAATTAGCAGAATCGTAAAAACTATCACTTCTTTCGGGTTTCTCGAAACACTTCACAAAAATTCCGTTCTCTTTTGCTCTTGTTTATTGATTTTTTTTATCAGTCAGGATAACACTTTTCTTTGATTTTCTTTTGCAATTTCATTTGTCTCAAAAGAAAAAGAATCAATTTTCCCACGTCATTCCTTAGAAATTGTGTGCGTTTCCTGGAAATTCTACAGAGGAAGAAAAGAACCGAAAATATTTGCCTAAGTGGAAAATTGCGAATATCGAAAGTTTCTGCAAATTACTGTTGAAGGACAATTAAGGATGCCTGAAATTGAGGAAGTGATGTATTTCTGTGTTTTCCTCGCATGTCAATTCCCCTCGTGGATGGACGAAAAAAAAACAGTGGCTAGAAAAATTCTTCCCGATGTTCTTAAATGAAATGAAAGAACGAAACATGAAAGGTCGGTCTTTGACCCCGGTCGATGCAAATCAAAATAAATTCCCCTCCGAGGGTGTTTCTCTCCAAAGAATTTCCCCTCGTCACCGCGGCGCTCTGGAGACTTCTGCGGGACGCGCGCGATTTCCTCCGCAGAAAGAAGGAAGTCCAGCGTTGGGAGATTTTCATAAGTGGATTATTGGGGTTTCTCGGGGGGGATTTAAAGAACCCGTTCCTCTGCCAACAATCTCAATCTGCCGATCGCTTGGACTCATTGGAGGCTATCAATGGGATGGGAAGATGTGGCGAAAGAGAGCGCGCGCGAGAGAGAGAGAGAGAGAGGGAATGACCGAGAACGTTGTCTATGAAGTGCGTGTGATTGCCCATCGCCTCCCACTTTTTTCTCCACGTCTCTCTCTCTCTCTCTCCCTCTCCACTTTCTTGCCATCGCGAGTCAACTTCTTCTAACGGGACCATTTGTAAAAGATGATTTTCTGTGTGGTGTGTAAATTGGTGTCTGATGTGGATGAAAGAAGGAGAAGAAGAGAAAAAAGACGTGCGAGAAGTTGAAAGAATTGAAGTGGCAACGCGCTTTTTTCTCGAATTTTTCTACGCTCTTTTTTTTCTCTCTCTATCAGCCTCACATATATCCAAATGTGCGGCAAATGTGGTGGTGATCAATTTAAATTGAACACCAATGGACAGATCGCACTGTCGCATTTAGCATTTTATGGAAATTCAATGAATAATTTCCCACTAATCTCTCTCTCTCTGCACCCACAATTAATTGCGGAAAATGTTGTGTAATTCCTCAATTGACACGGGGAATCCGCTGCTGGAGGGACTGATTGAGATGATGTGGGTGAGGGTGTAAGTCCGCTTGGAGACCACTGCCGGAAAGTCTCCAAAAGCACGAAAAGGGAATTCCTCTCTTTCTACTCTATTCCACTGAAATATTTCCTGGATGACTTTGTTGTGTGTTCAGTGGGAAGAGAAGAAAAACACTCACAATATGATTAAAAATTAATTTCCAGAACAATTTCTCTTATACTTTTTCCACGCACAACACTGATGAATAATCTTTTGTAGAATCACACCTTTAAGGCCTCACTCTCGTACACATTTTAGTCACTATTGCTTTCACGAAAATCCACTTGGTGAACATGCATTTGGGGGGGAAATGGCAAAAGTGTGCCTCTTGAGTAACTCCGGAGGGTGTTTTTCTTGGGAATTCCGGTAAATCCTTGGAATTTCACGCGTCTCTTTTTCACAATGTCTCTCCGTGGTTTTGTGCACTTGCAAAACACCTTTTTTTTCCTTAGTCAAGTGAGAGTTCGAGCGATGCGGTATCCTAGGGGGCTCGATAGGGGGCAGAGTGCGAAACTTGGAGGCTGATTTTCTCGGGGATGAAGTGGCCTTTGCGACAGGAAAATGGCATTTTTCGTGGTATTGAATCGCGCAGCAAACCCGGCGAAATCATTTGAAGCAGCGTTTGAGGCAAACTAGTGAGATTCTCTTCTGGGCATTGAAAGAGCCGCTTGTTGTGTTTGCTGTGCGACTTGAGCAACAGAGACGGCCAATCCCCAGCTGGCCACTGGCGTGAGCGAGACGACGTGAGTGACAATATTGTGAGGAGGTGAATGACCGCCAGTCCGCGTGTGTTGCCTATCGTACACAGGCGCAGAGCCCGAATCGTACAACTGCAGCGTGAGTGTAGCACGCGCAGAGTGCGTCGTGGTGTTGGTGCGGCTGTGTGGTTGCGCTTTTGGCAGGAAAGTCATTCACACAGTCGACGGTGAGAGGAGAAATCATAGATTTGCGCACACACTCACACCCTTTCCTTCCCCATCGCGAGAACATCGCCGTGGTTTTGCCCGCGAGTTTGCGCCGTGCGTCCGCGAGCAACCAATGAACTTTCCCCCTTATTGGCGATGTGCTTGCCTCAGCGCAAACTTTTTTGGAGAAATGCAAAGTCAAGAGCTTAGCGAGCTCTCTACTGTGATTAAAGTCAAGCTGCCGCGAGAGGAAGATAGTTGGGAACATTCTAGGGGGCGTCATTTGACTTTCTCACGCGATGTGCAGTAAATTTGAGAGCTTCTGCACATCATTTTTCCACCAGGAGCTTAGCAAACAAAATACTCAATAACATGTGGTGATAAAAGATTGCTTGAGCTGATCAAAGGAAGAATGCAAAATTAGCCGGTATTTCTATTCAATGCTTCAAAAGTCCAAAGTCCTTCATGCTTGGCAACAGGTGCGCCAGAATATTCATTAAATTCCACTTGAAGAGGAGACATTTGGCTCTCCGTTGATCCTTTGACTAGCAAACCTTGCATTTCTTCTCGTAAATTGTTAGAATGTCAAAACACTTCCTAAAAACTTACCTTTTCCATTAACCATAAAAACAATTTTTGCTTCAAGTTGAGAGCTTTTAGCCGAGACACTCCGAATCTCTCGAACGTTGAATGGTTTCTCTTTGAAAAATGCGCTCTTTTTTGTATTGTAGTATATATTTGTTTTTATTGTGCCCACATATTGAAGAGTTTCTTTACCAATAAATTGTGTGTGTTCTTTGGTGTTTCCAATAAATTAGCGAAATAAAATTTCTGCACTTAACATTCAATGATAAACCATCATTAATACTCTCTTTGCAGCTACTATTTGTGCTCTAGTGCTTAGTCAATCTTACAATTCTATGCATTTCTAATCACTAAAATAGCTGACATATCTATAAAATCCTAAAATACAACAAATTTGATAAGGGAAAAGAGAAAGGATTGGAAATAAAAGCTACACATAATTTAACTTTATACACTTAAAAGTTTCTTCTTTTTTAGGATGTTCAGCAGGTCGTGGAGGTTTGTCCATTCTGTCCACTGGCATTCCCGGCAGATGGATCATCCGGTCCGCCATTGGCTCCAGATTGCTGATTCTCATACCGCTGACGGAGACTCGACAGGGCACTGAGAAGCCGATTGTTGGCCGCATCCAAGGCGGCAATTTGCTGGCCCTGCGCTTCAATCACGCGCTGCTTGTGCGACAGGGCAAGAGACATCTTCAACTGCTCTCTCCGCAGTTCCTCCTCCATCGCGATTAACCTGGGAATGCAGAGAAGTGGTCTGTCAAGACTGACAAATGATGCTTCAAATTCCTCCACTCAGAACTCACCTGCTGATGATGCTCCTCATTTTACTATCACTGTGATGCGACATGGAGAGAAGATCATCGTTGGAGTCTCTCAAGTCTGACTCTTCGAGTTTACTCCTCAGCGAATCCACCGAGGCCTGAAGCCTCTGAATCTCTCGCTCGCACTGCTCCACTGATCTGCCCGATCGGCGCCTCTTGCCCTCCAGATTGTATCCCTCGGTGTCTGTGGAGCTGTCCGACAGCGTCCGGGCCGATTCCACGCTCAAGCGTCTCTGATATCGACTGGAAGCGGCTCCCAAATTTGTGATTTGCTCGTCACGTTTGTACTGAATGAGTGGATTTGTGCGCGGCAGGCGATGGGCACTCAAGCGAGTGGGAGCGGGCAAGAGATCCGCCGCCACCATCGAGAGCTCACTCTCACCCCTGATCTCCCCAATGACAGTCACTGCGCTGTTCCCGTTCACATTGGCGTAGTCCAGGCGCTCCTCGCTGCTCGACGGCGTCAAGGAGGAGCTCTTCTGCGACGACTGCGAATTGTGGGTGTGATTCTGTATGTGATACATTGGATTCTTGAAAGCCAAAGCCTGAGCATTCGACACGGCATTCACGGTGTCCTTCGTGCCGCCAAACTGATACTTTGTCGGTGGCGGACGCTTTGGCGCCTTGGAATCCGACGCGTGGTGATTCTCCACAGGCGATGAGCTCTGACTCTGCGTGGCGATACTCTGATATCCACTGCTGCACACGTTGGAGATCTGCCCAATGGAAGCGTTGCTGCCCTTGGCCGTGAGAGTCTCCTTGGCAGCGGCGACAGGAGTTGTCTTGCTCGCCTGCTCATCGGCGTAGTTCAGAAGATCATCCAGGTCCTCAAGATTCATTGGCATGTTGAAGTTGGTGTTGGTAATGACACCCTCGGGCAATCCCAAGTTCACAATGCTCCTGTTCTGACCCACAATTGTGGTACTGGATCGATTCTTGTTCGGCGTGGGCTTCATGAGAGGCGTTGGACTCTTTCGCACAAAGGCATTTGACGTGTCAACACCAATTTGGATGAAATTCGAGTTCGTGTCCTCAGCTTTTGGCGCCTGGAAGACGGAAAAACCAGAGAATTGGTCAATCATACGATAAGATGGCATTTTACTAGCTGATAAAGACTAATCAGGTATGTTTAGGGTGTAATAAGTGTTGTAAAAGACAGAGAGGAATCTCCGCTGGCTGTAGTTATTGATAATTAGCTATCTTTCTCCCAATTGCTCTTGCTCTTCACCTTGCTAAAGTTCGCTGATTACGATTGAGACATTTGAGGGTAAATTACGTTTCATTCTGCGTCAGTTCACGGACAGACAATGGCTAAAAAGGTTCTCATTTCCCTGTTTCTCTTAACAATCCTCCTCGTTGCGACAGATGGTAAGATAAAACCGAAATAATCTCTAGTCTTTTGATGTTCTATAGAATGTTCTTTGCTCTGTGCGAAGGCTTAATGTGCTACACCTGCAATTCCGACGAGGATCCAGGCTGTTTCGACCATCCTGAGGATCAGAGGGCGTTCATGTGCAGGATAATGAATGTTGGCGACGAGAGTTTCCGCTGTTTGACCATCACAGCCACAAAAGCGGGACAGAATGTAGCTCTGAGACGATGTGGCGTTGAGGGTGAATGTGAAGTGCAATTGGGAAATAACAATTCCTTCGATTGGGGAGGAGAAATATTCCCGGACGCACATTGTTCCACTTGTTCCGGTGATTTTTGCACAGAGTAGAAGCTTTTGTATACTCGTGAATTTACCAATAATCATTTTAAGGACTTGCAAAAGGTCTAAGAATGTCAAAGAATTAATTATACAGTCAATAAAAATGAAGTTTTGCAAAAAATACTCTGTAATATCTATTGAATATTCATTTTCCACCAAAAATCTAACGAAATTAGAACGAGGAAATACAATTTTGTTCAGTAGTCCTTCAACTCTTCGCCCAAAGAGATCTCTTTTCTCTGTGAAAATGATCATTCAGTCTTCCGTGGCAGTGTTCATATTTATTTTCTCAATGTCTCTTGTATATTATCAATTAGGTGAGCATGATTTTGAGAGTTTACAATACTCTAAATAATTCATGTATTTTCTTGTGCGCAAAGGTGATAGTTTGCAGTGCTACAATTGTGATTCTTCAGTAAACGCCGATTGCATTGATCATCCCGAAAACAGTCAACAAGAAGATTGTGTCAGTGTTTTCAGAGATTTCAGCACACTTCGTCTTCGCTGTGCGACAATTAAGGGAGAAAATAATGGTGAAAAGTTCGCAATGAGAAGATGTTCAACGGATGAAGAGTGTGACATTCGAGTGAAGCAGGATAAATCCTTTGATCACGGCTCAATTGTCTACAAGGATGCGACTTGTGAACTCTGTTCCTATAACTTTTGTAATAAAGATTGAAGATAATTGAATGAAATTCTTGTATTGACAAGAATTTTTTATCAAAAATCAACGAAAATAATAAAGAAAGTATAAAAAAAAACAGACAATGGGAAATTAATTCAGTTTTAAATATTTATATTAAACTCAGTTGTCAACCTAATTTAAATATTGTAACCTTAACACATTAAAAAAGAACACTTGATAATACATCTAAAATCCCGAAATCCGATGTCAAGCATAAACTTGGGTATAAATTAGCCAATCAAGAGTTAACTTCAGTCATTCTTAATTGATCTTTTATGCTTGAACACAAAAAAAAACTCGCGAGAAAAATGCTCACAAAGATCTTTGTGGCCATTATAATCTGTAGCTCTGTGTCACTTTTGGTTCACGGTAAATTGCTTCAGATAAGGATTATTTGTAGTGTCTCAGTAAAAAAAAGAGATGAAATTATGTTTCTGTTTTATTTTCGGTGATTCGTCAAAGGCGACACACTAAAGTGCTACACATGCATATCAACTGAGAATTCCAGTTGCTTTGATAAGCCCGACAATGTTTCCTTTGCGGAGTGCGGCGGAGTCACTGCAGATCTTCCAGCATCGCGATTGAGATGTGTGACAATCAAGGGGATGAATGGGGATGAGAGATTCGCCATGAGAGATTGCGCGACAGATGACGAGTGCAATTTCCAAATTAAAGACGATAAAACTGATTGTGAACTTTGTGCGGATGATTTATGTAATAAGAATTGAATAAGCTTGCAAGAAAGTCAACGTTCTTCTTAGAGAATTCGAAAATTTCTTATAAATACAGCAAAAAAAATCTCACCAACAAATCGTTGGCATTTCAAATGTTCGTCTCATGTCGTATTTTCGAATTTACTGATAATATGTCTGTTCGCGAATGAGTCAATCGTTTACTTTATCACAACTCGTTTCTCCGTGAGCGATAAGAGAAGTTAATCAAGTTTTGCATTTGTTGCTTTTTTCTGTCGTTTTGTCTAATTAACAAGCTATCGCGATGAAGAACTCTGACATCGAAAACAAGTAAGTTTGTGCTCTAAAGGTTATAAATTGGCAGACGGAGAAGTCACTTGTGGTCATTCTTTCATCGGCCTTTTCCCACTAAAGATCTCTTCTGCAACCTACAATGCTGACTAAACTCATTGTGACGGTCTTTATCGGCGTTTCTGTGTCAATACTAACTCAGGGACAGGGTAAAATGCGTCTTCTATTGGAACTTGTGCGTGTTTTGTGCAGTGAATCATGGTTTTTCTTTTCTTCTTCTGCTTCTTGAAGGTAACATTTCCACCCTCAAGTGCTACACGTGCAACTCTGAGGACGATCCAGGATGTTTCGAGAGTGTCGCTGGTCAGAGGATCATGGATTGTGGTCTGGTCATTGCTGATCTGAGTTCCTTCGACTTCCGTTGCATGACAATCAAGGGAGTGAAAGGAAATGAGAAGATTGCAGTGAGACGATGCTCAACACGGAACGAGTGCAATTTCCAACTCAGGCCTGACAAATCCTTCGAATGGGGCGCCGCGATTTTCCCGGACGCCACTTGCGACGAGTGTGTCGGTGATTTTTGTAACGATAAATAAAACAAGTTCTCAACATAACGTTTTCCTCAACAAATAAAGACGTAACAGAAGCAAAAAGGTGTTGAATAAAATCTTGACAATATCAATTGTTTTATTAATCCTTCAAGAAAAAACGCTAAAAAACCTTTCTGGTTTTATTCAAATCGAATCCTTGACACCTTAAGAAATCCGGCATGAGAAGCTTCTCTAAATATTCATGAACCATTTGAATAGTTCCAAGGAATTTACTTGTTTGTCACAAATGTGTTAATTTATGAAAAATTGCACTTTATAGCTAGAAATGCGATATGGAAAATTTCCGTGACTTTAAATGATCTTGAAATTTTCAAATATTGACTAATTAGATAAATATTATTTTATGCTATTGTTCAGATCCTCACTTGAACTTCACCAACTGAGAGCTGAATCAATTATCCTGTCAATTAAAAGCAGAGAAAATTTAATGCGATTTTTGGTGCAAAACTGGGTTTATTACCAGAAAATCCTAGTCAAATCTCAGATGAAACCTTTCTTATCTGACCCACTGATGTTTCTGCACTGTGTTTGATCAAGCGGATTTTTTGTTCGATAGGAAAATACGCCTCATTTGGGTTATCAAATCTCTTGTGTTTAATTCTGTAAGATTGGTGGCAATTGTGGCCTCTTTTTCTCCCATGTGTGCCACACATTTTTGTGTAATTCGGTCACCGCAAGGACACTTTTAAACCACTCTGACCACCTGATTGAATCATGTGGCAATTATCCAGGACACTGGCTTTGCCTCTGAGGGTGTCACGAGTCTCGTGAGGGTTGCAAAATCAATTGACCAGAGGTAATTCACCACAGTCTAACACCCTGGAGCAGCCACTCGTGAATGGGACATGAAGTGTGGAGTGTATTCTGAAGCAGATTCATCTGCCATGGGTGGAAAAATAGATTGACGAGGGGGAGTCCAGCTAAAAATACAAATGGGTCGGACGTCAATATATCATCATTATTAAATAAAATAAGACGACAGTATTTCCGTCGCTGACCTCATAGAAATTCGCTGTGGATCTTCGTGCTTTGCCGCGCGCGCACTCCAAAAGCGTTTCTCACAGCTCATAGTCGCGCTTGTGACGCCAAAAGGGCTGACGATTCACTCAAATCCCCAACACACTCCTTCCGCTCTCTGTCATTTCCCTCCGCCACTCGTCATTGGACATTAATTAGGAAGTGCAGAGCGAAAGTTACACTCCAGACAGTTTCATTTGGGTGAACATTGTGAAGAAATACCATTTAAATTCATTATCAAAATAAACACTAAACCATAAGCAATGTTAGTTGGAAAATGAGTGATAATTTGTGTGGAAAATAGCACACAGAATTTGTGTAGTTAATCGCCCCTTCGGCCGCTCTTTGGCTCCCCTTTGCGCGGGAATTATCTCATTGACTCTTCTCTCATTCGAGTTCTCTCCTGTAACACGATTGGAAGGTATCCGAAGTGAGTCCAGAGGGAGGAAGTAGAACTAGAGAGTAGAATAAAGGGCAAATAGCGAAATCATAGTGAAAATAATGCGATTACTACCCTTTATAGTGACTTTGTGTCTATCAGTGGCTCTAGCAAGTGGTAATTTTTCATTTCCTGCCCTCATTTACTATGTGTGAAATTATGTTTGCTGAAATATTCCCGTGTCTCTCTCTTTTCTATTCTCTTTCTATGGTGGAATTTGGCTGTGTCTTTTTGCAAAACTGCCGCCCCTCCCCCGGGAAACAAAAAATAAGGATTACAGTGCTACATGTGCAGTTCGCACTATGACGATGACTGCATTGAGGAGAGGAACACCACAAAGGTTCTCACTTGTACGGACTTTATTCAAGGCATCAATCCCATCACCCTTCGGTGTGTCCGCATTGTTTCACTGTCAGGTAAGTAGAGGATCTGCGTGAGAGGACACACTCTTTTTGCAGTTCGTTTGGGACTTTAATTGCGCTGCAGCAATTTTCTGAGACGCTTTAGCGGAAATTGTGACAGAAATAGCCTACCTTCCGAGTGAAAAATAAACAAATTATCTCTTTTCTCTGGCTCCTGTGCCAGACGCACAATGTGAGAAAATATTCACGATATTCTCTCACTTAGCATTTCCAACCAGCAATCGTAAATATTTTCTTTCCTACCAAAAATTCACATTTTTCTTTCACATCTACTTTGCAGACAGCAACCGTCTGATTGTCGTGAGAAGATGTGCCGTCCTGGGCGATTGCAAATACGTGGCCAAGAATGATCGTCAATCCTGCACTGAATGCAACACAGACTTGTGCAATAGTGGCAAGTGAAAGTGCAACTCTTGCCCTCCGTGAATGGGCGAGAGAGAGAGAGAAAGAGCGCGAGAGCATCAAGTACGAATGTACTTAAAATCAACAAATTGTTCTTCTTGATTGGAGATTTTTGCAAAGTGATCAAAATGCAGAAGGATCATTTTTTTGATTTAATCAAACATTAAAGAAAAAAAACAAATTATTTTTTAGATAAAAGGAATTAAATACAAAATTAAACTATTATTCTTTCTCTTTAAATTTATCATAAGAAAATAATTAATTTCTCATTATTTATGCACTACTTTATGCGATCCTTTTTTTCTGCCAACACAGATCACTTTACAAAACTCTAGTCTTAAATACTCCTCATAACTAAGATTACACTCTCTGTAAAGCATTTTTTTCGTAATATAAACTCATCATAGTAGTTGGAAAAGCTTTTTCTACTTACATTCTGGTGATTCCCATTTGTGGTGATGATTATGTTGTTCCTGGGCAAAGTGTTGGCCCTGAAACTGCTGCTAATGAAGTCTTTGGTATCCTTCTGCTGGCTGCCAATCACTTTGGGCGCATAGTAGAAAGCTGTTGGCGCGGGCGGAGCCTTGTTTGGTCGCACTGGCGAGCTCGTCTGCTGCGGCTGATGGAGACGATCCGTCGAGTTGGCGATTTGGTGTTGGATAGAAGTGGGAATGACTACGCTCTGATGCAGCACGGGCGCTGAAGAGATGCTGGATGTCGACTGGGAGTGCTGAAGACCATTGTTCTGACGCTGAGCATTGAGGAACGGCGAACAGGTTGGATCATTGTACCGGAAGATGTTCTTCTCCAGAGAATTGGGCGTCAGAACACCACGAATAACTCCTCTATCATTTGTCTTCTGCACATTCTGTGCATTGGCGAGATTTTCCTGATTGCCACCGGGCTGTGCGAATGCTGTGACTTCTTTCGCCTTCGCGACCTTCTCAAGGATCGCAATCAGCTGATGGAGTTCCTGCTGTCGCGTCGTGGACAATTTGGAAATGCTCTCAGACAGGAGAGTGCAGAGAATCGACAGTTGCTTTCCTTGATCAATATATCCCGTCCAGTCGAGGATTGTCTCTGGCAGAGGTTGATCCGTTCGGGCTGAGATGAGATGCAGAAATTCCTTCATTCGTGACGCCTCTTGCTCCAGGAAGTCATTGAGAAACTCCATGAATCCCTCCTTGGCCTGGAATCGTGTAAAATTGGCCAGAGTCTGTAGTGTCTTTGCCACCAAGGTGAGATTCCTTGTCGCTCTTGCCGATGGCAGTTCATTGGTGATGTTGAAGAGACTCGGAGAGAGAATTGCCGGACAAAGGAAGCGCAAGAAGATAGAAGCACTTATCAAGTTGTCTGCCATATCCTCGCGATTTAGCATTTCGAGGCGCTCCCGGAACGTGGCGAAGCACTCACGGAGTTGAGGTGGGAAGTGTCTGCAAGAATGAGAAGCTTAAGATCTGCTGCTTTTCTCAATTTATCTCAATTACTCACTTGTGGGATTCAGCGATGCTGCTCCAGGCAACCTTCACGGCATTTCTCAGCGCCTGTTGCTGTCGGGAGAGACTTCCGGTGGCCTTCGAGGGATCAACTTCGCAATCTCTGTCGCTGGAGATGATTTCCGCGATGGGCGTCGAGAGAGTGTCCTGCAGATATTGCTCGCCGGTGAGTTTAAGGAAGGCCTCCATGCTCTTTGTGGCCAGTGAGTTTCCCCTGAATGTGAGCCTCTGATCGCCCACACGGAGCAGATCCAGCGCCACGACATCCGTGAGAAAAGCTCCCGCCATGCCTTGTGAGTGCATGAGAAGAACAAGCGCTTGTCCAATGTCTTCTTTCGCCTTCACACCAATCACAGGCTCCAGAATCTCGCACACCTTCTTGTAATGCTCCTTGAGATAAGTCAGAAACTCCCCGTAGATCTCCAGTGGCAGAATATCGATGCTTTGGAAGCGGCACTTTATTCTCAGCGTGGGAAAGCCATCCTTCACCGAATTCCGTCCAAAGCTGTCCACTTTCTCCGAGATTATGGGATACCAATCCTCACAGAACATCCTCGCCGTGATCTCGTGAATGGGAATCTTCACGCAGCCGACGTAAGTGTGCTTGTCGCGCTTCTTCTTGCGCTCACCCTCGCGGAACACATTCACCGTGATGAGATTGATGTCGGGAATGTCGGGAAAGTCAAAGTATTCGCCCCAGAAGAGGAGATCCCCCTTGAGCTTCACCGATGTGCGCCCGTACAGCGTCTTGTCCAGGTTGATCTCGCAGAAGTACTTCTTCTTTGGTGGCAGACCTTTGGCTTCATACACCCACATCTTCAGCGAGTTGTCTGTGCGCCGTGTGTGGTCAGCATTGGGCGCAATTGACTTGCGCAAGCTGTAGATCCAGAGATCCCTCTCCTGACGACTGCTGCAGCTGTAGTACCGCTCGCCACGCGGTCCTCCGCGCACCTGGAAGCAGTGTCTTCGTCCGAGCACTGGAAGAAAAAGGACAGATCGTGAATAGGAAATTAGAGAGCATTCGTGACTCCTCCATTTGGTCATGCATTAGCGAGGATAGTGGCGTTTTTTGTGGCTCTGGACTAGTTTTTTTTGACATCTCTCAATTCTTTTTCAATCTCCTTCTTCGTTGTACTTCACAGGAAATCGTTAAGTGCCAAAACATCTGGACTTCCGGACGTTTTTTTAGTTGCGTTAAACCCGTGAAAAACATCCTTAACACTTGATTTTGTGATTGGCAGGTATTTCAACTTTCAAATCAGAGTTGATTTGTGAGAAATCAGAGAACATTCATGTTACACAAAAAAAGGTTATTATTTTTTGACTTCCCTGACGTGAGATCAATGCTTCAATTTTTATGAGAAAATAAATATATTATTCTCTGTTCATTAGAGAGTTTTAGATGATTAGACAATATGCATTCTGTAACAGGGAAGAAACAATGTATTAAGCAACATGTATTGTTACTTTCTTTGTAAAATAGGATCTAAGAAAAAGTGTTTCACAATTTATTACGAAATAAAGTGTAAGTGTATAAAAAAGGTCTTTTTTTACCATATAGCATTAATTATATCAAAATCTCTCCAATTGTGAGGAAAATTTGAATGACTTTATTATGCATTTCCATAATGTAATAAAAATAGCGTTGTTATAAACAGAAATTGATAGAATTTATTTATAGAGACTATTTGAATTTCGGTGATAAATTCTCGGGAAATATTCTATAAAAAGAAGTATTCAGGATACATTCCAAGGCATGCAATCGGAATAAATTAAATTTTCTGGGCCATCAGCACGAGAAGAGACTTTCTGAGAATTCTGTGAATAGTTTTTGGAGGCGGTGAAATAGAGAAATTCAGAGAATTGAATCGAGAGAGAAAGAACCAAAGAAAGAAAAAAAGCGTCTCTTTTATCAGGACAACTCCCTAATAATATAACACGCCCTGATAAGATAGGCAGGTAAGAATTTCGTGGTCACACAACTCACCCGACTGATGAACAGGGGCCACTCCGACGGCTCCTGTGCAGGAGAGGTCAATAGTCGACATCACAGCGTGACTGGAGAGCAGGCTCTCGTGCGATCGCGATCCTCTGAGACCACCTGGGCCCCTCTTGGCGCGCTCCAGCTTCGTCACGGACTTTGTACGTTTCAGCGGATTCGCTCTGAAGGATCTGAAAGGTAAACACTCTCGTCAGATGCCAATTAATGCGATCGTTCGTTGGGATGATTTCATAATTCACACTAATGAATATTGAGTGTCGATGATTTATGAGTCATCAATGAGGAAATGGAATGTGTTCAACAAAAACTTTCGCTTCGGATTCACAATGAGTTCAACTGAAGAGATTCTTCGAATTAATTAAACATACATTTAAGGTGTAACTTTGATTGTCTCTCAATTGGGGGGGTAGAAGAAGAAGAAGGGCAAAGCGAGAAGCGGTGAGAGATTGTGTCTTTTACCTTTTTGAGAAGAAATTTGTAAATCTTGATGTCGGTGCTTCAGGTTGTTTCTGATTAAGAATCGGTGTAGCTGGAGCTGATCCCCGTCGACAGGCTTTCTCATACGACGTATCTGTAAAGAGGGAAGACACAGCGCGATGTTAGATGAGTTCAATATATAAAAAAGATCTATAAAAATGTTAATCCCTCCTAGTTTTTGTGCCATCAACTCTTCCGTCTCTCACCGCCAATGCATATATTTCTTATATAATATAGTAAACGTACATTTCAATCGTGGCAGAAAGCATGAGATGGAAATACATAAAAATTACCGAAGCTATTAAGGCTCGCGATCAGGTTTGGTCGCTCTTCTCACTCTCGCACGTGTGCTTCTGTGGTGAAGAATGTGTGACTGGAATTCCAGTCAATTTCATACAAAACTCTCGCGACTGTTGGGCTTCGATCGGTCTGTCTCTGTTTCTCCAATCAATCGGCACAAAACAGCAGATTGCCGATCATGATGGCGAGAGTGAGAAAGTGTTAAGGTAATTGAGAAAGGTATAGCGAAGCGTCGGAGGAAATACAAGAGAACCACGAATTTCTCTCTCTCTCTCGTTCCTCTGAGTATTTTTTCTCCTCACCTTCTTGGCCTATGTTTTTTTTCACGTCTTCTTCCCTTATGCCAAAGGGACAAAGAGTCGAGGCGAGAAAGAGAGCAAATGATCAAAAATAGCTTTGTTGGCTACTCGCGCCAACAGCAGCAGAAATATAATTAAAGATCAGGTACAGATCGAAAGAGGGATACCTTGAGGATTTCTTTTAGTTTGTCTCTCTCTCTTTCTGCCGCGCTCATTTGTATACACTCCTCAGAGAGTGTAGAGAATAAGACTACAATGAAAAATAAAACATCATCTCAATGACAAGCAGCTGGAGGAATTCAGAGAATTCCAATCCAATTCACTATCTTTTTTGCTCCTCTCTTCTCAAATTCACCTCCAACGATCGCGTTATCGCCCAAGACCCTCGATTAAATATTCATCAACTGCCCCGATGTTGTGAATTTCCCCCGAAATTACTAGTTGCACCTGGAGGGCTGACAAGTACTCATATTCACAGCGCAGAGAGAACACACCTCGCCGCCTGACCTTCGACGTGAGTCTCATCAATTCTCAGGGCCTCTGTCTGATACCTCGAAATTGATGTTAATTCGCGCATCTCAGCGTGTTTTCTCCCACTGTTGGCTTCATGCGGAATTACGCCTCCCACTTTGTGTGCAAGATAAGGCGTTTGTAATTGAAAAGTAATGCCCAAGATTCCCCATTCACGATTACTTATCTCCCATTTTATGATTATTGAGAGAGAAAATATGAGATAAAGTCACTTTACGTGAGTATGAGAAGTTCAAATCAACATACAAAATCTTCTGAATTATTAGGTGTAATGCGTAGAATAACATAAAAAGTTTAATATCACTAAAATAAATTTGATCTGCTGGATTTTGCGTTTAAACTGAATTTATTACGTACTCGGTAATTGAAGATTTATAATAAGGTATTTTGTTCTGTAATGATATGAAACGAGTGAACGCACGTGCCAAGGAGGAGTTAACATGCCTTAAATCTGTACACCACTTCGAAACACTTCAAGAATTGGAAGTTCTTATACTATTTGTACAATAGTTTACAAATTATAATAATTTTCTGTAAGAATCGATTAAAAAACACATTTTTGGACATCTTTTCCCACCATAACCTCAAAATATAACCAGGAAATCGTCAAAAATTCCATTTAAAAAGCATTCTAGATCACAAAATGATTTGGTTATGATTTTCCAATCAACTCAAAACTGCTGATTCAGAGTCAAAATTGTCCAAAAAGTTTTTCTAAAAGAACATCTTCCAAGTTTAAATGACAATTTTTGAGGTTATGTTTGATTTAAATACAATTTGCAATATTTCTTGGCATTAAAGGTTCAGAAAAGTACTTTTTATTGCATGTAAATGCTTAATTCTGACAACGACCAGCAATCTCTCCGCGAATCATTTATTATATCTGTCAGTGATTCGTTTTATAACCTAGAAAAAGACTTTTATTATTGATTTTGCGTGAAAATCAAAGGAAATCCAAAGAATTGGGGTAATTTTCCAGTAAAATAAATAGTCAGGAAAGGAATATTGTAAGCTTTTGAATACTTTCACTTCTTAAGTACTTCTGCTGAGCTGTACACCACTTCTGATTGTATTATCTCCCCCTTGGCACGAACCTTTAGGCACATTATTATATACAGTTCGATCAATGATGCATGCTATTAAGTAAGAAGCGAGGGAAAATCCTCTTGAATTAATCACAATATTTTCATAATATGAAATAATTTTATACAAAATACGCATTTTGTAAACTCTAGAAAGGATCAGATGACAAACAACGAATCGCCAAACTTCACTAAAATTATAGTCAATCATTTATAAATAGATGTTTGCCAAACGCAGAAAAAACATTGAAATAACAGATGATGTAATCTATTGCTCAATATAGTTCCCAAAACCGAAATTGCAATCGTGAAGACAGATTTAACAAATTTAATAATTACGCTTGATTAATTGACGATAATTGCATTTAAAAGCCCGTGATACATTTCACCGCTGAACAATTATGACTTTTTGACTCCGCAATTTAGTTTTGGGCCAACAATCTGAGAAAAGCAAGCACAATTATTACTTTTTTTTATTATTATTGTGCCGTCCAATTTGAGTGTGAGTTTTGAGTGCCGGAAAAGAGTGTAATCACACTCATGATCGTCTTCAACGCGGGGGAAATCTCTTGAGTGTTCAAAAGTCTCTCATTCGGAGAATTACCAGAGTGAACAGCTTCGTCATCAAGGGGAATCTTGGCGGGTGTTTCTTGCGTGAGAAACATCTCCCTCACGGCTTCCTCCACATTGTCTGCTCGCAGGATCTTCTGCAGTGTCTCAATGTCCAGGACTTTCACGTGATCCTCACGCGTTGTGCTGCTGGACGAGTCCGAGCGATGTGTGAGACTGCGGAGGAGTGAATTGCTGCGCGACAACTTGGTTGAGTGAGCGCGTCGTATGAAGCTCATCGAGGATGACTTCTTGTCCGGCTTTATCGATGGCGACGAATCGTTTCCAGATGAGTAATTGAGGGAGATTTTGGGCGTCGACTTGAGCAGAAAAGAGTTCTTCGGCGGAAATGTCGCTGCCTGTAATAGATTTTGTGGCAAGGTTTTCGACTTCTCCTTCACTTGCGAGCTCACAGCGCAGCTCACGGGGATGTTGGAGAGCGAGGACAGGGGACTCTCCGTCCTCTCATCGCCCTCCTCGGTGTTCATCCGATTCAGCACGACTCCGTAGCGCTTGTAGCGCGTGGATGTGGGGCTGTTGCGCGACGGTGAGGCGGACAGGACGTCTGTGGAGGACATTGAGTCGCTCAGACTCCAATCCAGGCCGCTGATGCTATGCTCGAGGACACTGGAGGTGTCTTCGGCACCCGCGAGGGGCACATAGAACGTCGATCGACGCTTCGTGCCCTCGCCGAGTGTCTCCGAGGAGTCCGGCGTCGAGTGATGAATCATGCCGGAGTGCAGAAACCTGCTGGCATTCCTTCCCGGCTCCGCTCCTTATCGCAATGCCTTCTCCCAGCCACACTATCTGGCCGATTTGTTGTTTGGCCACAGTTTCCAAAAAATGGGTAAACAGAGAAGCTCAGAGAACGCTGTCTTTCCCCTCCTTATCGAATCACACTGGCGAACTGTTCTTCACAGACGTGCATCACTTGGTGAAATATGCAAGGAATGTGAGAATCCACAGTGTAGAGAATATTTAGTAATAACTTTGAGTCACACGGAAGACACAAATAGCATTTAAATTGATCCGAAAAAATACACAAAATGCAGCTTTTTTCACTGCGCACAGAACTCAATTGAGCGTGTCAAAAAAAATTCAAGCTTCGAGTTCGAGTCATACAAATTCACTTCTATTCAAAAATTTCCCTAACAAAAAACACTCCAAATTAGGTCCAATTCATAATTCACACCAAACTCTATTTTTTCCTACTTCCTTCACGCACGCCACGTCAGTACAAACTATTTAGCACAACATTTAATTTGAGAAGAAGACACAAATATTATTCAACACGATCGACGTCTCGTGTCAGCTAAAACATTTTCAATTCGACTGATTTTACGTCCCAAAGTCTCTTCAACTGAATGCTTCTCTGTGACTCTGTCTCCCTCATCGATTCCACCACTCGACTCGCTCACTCTTGCTTCTCTTGAGCACGAAATCGAAGAAGAAATACGACAAGCAAACACACGGAAAAGTCCCGCATATGCGACTGTATTGTACAATCGGCTTCAGCTTTGCACGATCGTCTCAATTTTGACTCATTTTCCCTCTCACTTGCCTAATGACGCTGTCACGTGTGGGAAAAAGACACGTAGAGACACATTTCTTGTTCTCCACTGCTGTTTTTGTTCCCTATGCTTCGCGGGCTGCCGCAGTCTCTCTCAGGAATGGGCGACCTCGACAGGGTGCTTCCCATGCCATGGCATGCACCGCAATGCTTCTGCGAATGCTCAGTCTCTTTCCCAGCAAACTGTCATGCTCAGTCTGATCAGTAGCTATTGTAGACTCAGCAAAGGTCATTGTTGAGACCAAACAATGTTTGGCCACCGATAAAGCGATTGCTTCTTATCGGTAAAGAGATAATTTGCGTTAATTGAAAGGTATTTGTTGCCAATCTATTTTGCATTCTACTTGGAATCAACAGTTTTCATGTCACTCAATTCCTATGGAGAATATTTTAATAAATCACTTAGAATGTCGCTTGAACACATTCTATTCCTCTATTATTGCAATATTCAAGGGAGAGACAATATGGCTTAAATCTGTACACCACTTCCTGACACTTTCACATTTTCTGTGCAGAATCTTTAACACTTCAGACACTTCGGAACGTCTTTCAATGCATTTTTCATCGCTTCTTAGACTTAGACTAGATAAAAAAACTAATTTAATCTTGATTTTAATCTTTTCAAACCTCAAAATGAGTAAACTTAGTGAATATCACAATTTTTCTACTATAACAAAGTGGAATGTGACACTACAATGCACAA